TTTTCGGTCTTTGGGACCGTGGTTTCTCCCACTTTCTTCATAGGGATTTCTTCGCCATTTTTGATCACCAACCACAATTGGAAGTTGGTGGAACGAATATAGATTCTCATCCGTTCCTTCCAATAAGAGTAGTTGGTGCCATCAAAAAGTGGTGGCCTAGAGGTTGATTGACCTTCTCCAATTCCTGCATAGAGATTTCTAGAAGAAGAGCACATGATCGCTTTACTCTCAAACGGTTAAGTTTGGACGTGAGTTAGGCTCCGATACCAATTGTTAGAATAATAGACCAACGCTAGAGGGGGGGTGAATAGCGTTTGATCAAGAAATCGCAGGAATAAAAATGAATAAACGAGAAGTAAAGAGAAAAGAAAGAGGCACACCGATTTTACCCTGGTTCACCACAACTTGTGGCTAATCCAGCCTCCCGAGAGACTCTCTCGAGCTACACTACTATCTCGTTAAGCTTAACGGTGCTTAACAAACCCGTACAACTTGAGAATTCGAGTCACACGAACCTCAACGAACCTTCGAAGGAAACAGCCCTTCCTTCGAACAACAAGAGAAATACCTTCTCTTGTCAAGTGTCTAAGAACACTAAAAACACTCAAAAACAATACTCTCTTTTAGAGTGGATATTGAGTAAACTAAGAACGCTAAAAAACACAACGCAAGTTTCACAAAAATGGCTCTCAAAAGCTATGAATAATTGAAGAATGATTTGCAATGAAAGAGTAGGAGTTGTGAAGTAATGTGATGTGTAAAACAGACCCAAACACCCCATTTTATAGTATAAAAATAGGCTCCAATGGACCAAAGTATTTAAGGGGTGATTGGCACAATTTGTGGGATTTGATAAAATTTGGATCTGCTGAAAAACACCCAGACAGCGCTGTCCTAGGCCTGGACATCGCTGTTCTAGGCTTGCGGTTTGAAAAATGGGAAGCAACGGTCATGCCAACAGCGATGTCTAAAATCCCTACATTGCTGTTTTGGCTGTTGACTTCCAAACAAGGAAAGTTTTAGCCTTAAATTCCTTCCAACAGTCAGGTCTCTACATCGATGTTCTATACTAGAACATCGCTGTTTAGGTCTGCCTTTGAAGATGGAAGTTAGGCATGACAGCGCTGTTGCTGGGTCAACATCACTGTCCAAAAACTTTCTGCCAATGCACTATATTTTTGGCTTAGGTTGGACAGCGCTGTAGGGAAGCCTACATCGCTGTTCCAGAAGTTTCTGGAAATCCAACCTTGGCTCAACAGCGATGTCTGGTGTCCAACGTCGCTGTTGGAAGACTTAACGCCAAATCATGTTTTTAGCTACCCAGGCCAGACAGCGCTCTTGATTACCTCAACATCGCTGTTGGGCTGGTTTGGCCAGACCCATGGTTGGTTTAGTCACGCCGTTAGCCGATGTCAAAAACGCAAGTTCTCCAAAATAAAAACCAAGTTTAGAAAACATTTGTTTATTGCATTTTGCTAAGAAATCAAGTAAAACATCTTGAAAACCACGTCATTTAGTTGAAAACCACGGCTAGCCAAGTTCGCGCCGTTTCGCATGGTTTTCACTCAACGATCAAAAACAGAAGGTGGTTTTTGAGGCGTTTTTGTTGGAGAACTAATTAAATGTGCCCAGTAGTAAAAACCAGTCATAAAAAGTTGAAAACCACTTGGTTGGTTCGGACGCCAAAAACCAATGCCGAAAACCGAGAGCCGAACGCCGGTTTCTGAAAACCGAACGCCGGATGGCTTGGTTTTTGGTCTGGGCGAACTCCAAGTGTTTTTGGGTAGATTAAAACTCATGAAAAACATTTTTGAGTTTGTAAAAAGAGTTTTGATGAAATGAGCCTAGAGAGCCAAGTTTTTAAAGTTTGTGCCGGTCTTGATCACATTAAGAACGACTCAATACAAATCTAATTCTTCGTTCTTGATTCTGGATTCTTGGTTCTCAAAACATCATGCCATGTTCCTTTGCCTTGGTTTTTGTTCTCTTTAGCCTTGTTATGTCACGGCGGTTTGGCATTATCAAAACCTGTCATAGAAACGAACACAGTTTAGTACGACGTAGGCGTAAACTTGTGTTCCAACAATATATATATATATATATATATATAGACACACACACACACACAATATATAGATGCAGGGCAGTAGAGAGAGGGAGAAAGGTAGATCTCAGGGTATTGGATTTCAGCATCGGCGCTTTCACCAAGGGTATCGATTCTTCTCTGGCGATGATAACTCCCGAGCAAGGAACTGGGCTTATCACGTCAATTACCCTGCACACAAAGCTGCTCTCTGTCCCCACCGCGACAAATTCAGAACTGGAAATCATAGAAGGGATTTCCTCCGATTCAGAGGCTGGCGTCCCTCTCAACGGCGATTCATAGGCGATGAGGAGGTGTCCTTTCAGTCGCGGAATTTTAGAGAGCGCTTACCCTCGTTTTTCAAGCAGAAAGACAAAGGCGTGAATCAACTCCTCCCTTACGCAGGTCCATTCTCCAAACCTCATGGCAAGCACTCCATCTTTATTGAAAGTAAAAGGTATGACTTTCATCTCTCAGGCTCCCTCAACATCTCTGAGCTCAAGAATGGTTACATTCGCACCATCTCCATTTCAACCACTTTGGCCTTATGGTTAATTGAATCTCTGGAGAGTTATATTTTCATCTCATCTGAGTGGGCTTGTACTAGATTCGAAGGGACAAATTCAGTTTCTATCAATTGGAGCTCAAATTATTATGGGGATTTTGTGCAAATTTTAGCAGTTTTTGAAGGAGCTAGATCCACCATTTGCGTACCTTTAGGAGCTAGAAAGAACTCTCTGAAGCTGTTCATCAAGGGACTCTATTATTCCCTTAACAATAGAAATGCACAAGTTGGTCAAATACCCCCTCCACCAGATACGGCTCTAGGAGAAGAGAGGAAGGTGTCTAGCTCACAACCTCAATTGAGAGATGGTCCCTTGCTCATTACATCGGTTGGATCAGAGGAAGTCTCTGAAACTGATTTACCAAAATGGCAAGACCCCTTGTTGGATGACATTTTGGGCAAGACAGAAATGCAGAATTCAAACATATCAGTACCAGGGCTTCTTGTCCAAATGGATATCTCTGATTTCTGCAGCAAAGAATACAACTTGGATATATGTTGTAAAGGAGATTTTGATGAAGAGTTCATACTTTTAGAGCCCCTATTCTCTGACCACTTTGAGTCCTTGTTCAAGGAATCTTATTGTTATCTTAAAGAGGCTATGACCATCTCCATGGTGCGTGACAAGTTGCAAAAGGGAATTCTGAAAAATGGAAAGGGCAAGGCCTTCAGAATGACAAGGCAATTAGCAAAAAGCATTGAGGCGGTAGACTCAGTTAAGATTAAAGGTACTAAATTCCCGGTCTACTTAATCTATGCAAATGATGACTCTAGAGTTATACACTCTTGCTGCGGGGAATTTTTACACGAGTACTAAACAGTTGGTTCCTATCATCGTTTGCTTCCTTAGCTGCATATTTTTTGGTATTTTTTGGTTTTCATCGGGTGTCACTCAGCTCACACAGTGGTTGGATCATTTTAATTAGAGCATGCTTACCTAAAGCACATCTTCATATAAACTTAGGTCGCTAGAACTCCGTAATAGGTGGATTGGTTCATGCTGCTCGTTCCATAGCTTTTTGGGTATTCAGAGTTTCTCCTCTTCTGATGACGGGTCCCGCTGCATTAATGCATTTTGGTATTTCAAGTATGGTTTGATCTCTTTTGGTTGGTTTTTAGCTAGATAACATTACTCTCTTGGATGTATCTCCTGCTTGGCTGTTGGACCTACTACTGGGAACTGCTGTTCTCAATCACTGGGTTGGACTGCTTCTGAATTTTGAATCTCACTATTCTTTGAGATGGCTTGTGTCAAGGTCCGTTTTGGCTACATTTAGGAGACAACATCCATTTTCATTTTGAGCAGAGTTGGGCCATCTTGGACATGTTTTATGTACTATCACTGCATCATGGACAGGAATCAAGCATTAAGCAAGACTTTTGGAATTTAGCTTTTTGGACTTCTTTTTTTATTGGTTTTTGTACCTCTTGGATTTTGGCTGTTCTTTTTGGGACCTACTTTTGGAACGCCACCCCCCTCTTGTACTTTCTTTCTTTTTCTTATTAATAAACAAAAATTTAATTTAATATATATATATATATATATATATATATACATATATATATATATATATATATATATATATATATATCTACTTGAACACTTTGATACCCACCTTAACTCCTGGTACAGTAAAACTCTCAACCCCATGGGCAGATTAATACTCATCAAACATGTTCTTTCGTCCATCCCACTTCACACACTAGCCGTCCACACACTCCCCCAATCCATCATCACTTCTCTCCATAAAAGAATGGCACGTTTTCTCTGGGGTGTAAAGGACGGCAAAATGAAGCATCATTGGATCAGCTGGAAAGAAGTCTGCCTTCCTACTGACCAGGGAGGTTTGGGTATCCGGGCCCTCCATCATATCCAACAAGCCTACTCTTACAAGCTCTGGTGGAAAATCAACAATGACCATGGTCTTTGGGCAAACTTCATGCGTAGAAAATACCTTAAAACCAACAACTTCAAGGAAAGGCTACCTGATTCTGCAGTTTGGAAAAGGATATTTAGAGTACATGCCACTGCAACTGAACTCACATCCACAATCAACGGCTGTATGAAATGGAAAGAAGAAAACTTCACT